ATTTAATCGGTCGGGAGTCCAATAGCTGCGGAATTTCCCTACAAAAGCGTATGCACGACGAAGTTTTATTAGATGAAGCTAATCAGTACTTCTATTAGAATCGATACCTTTTTAATTAGTTTATCCGAATGGGGCTCCCAAGTATTTTGTGTTGCCCTCTCTCCGGGTTAGGAGGCACTGGGTCTTATTACCACACCGCTCACCCCCCACATGCGGATCAAACAAGGGAACACTCAAAGCCTAGGAGCCCCTACGAAAAAGGTAGTCGGTAGTTCCTGCTCCCTACACTTCCAAGGCAAGTCAGTAGTAGCAATGTATTTTTTGCACCAAATGAATCACCATAGGCTACCTCAAAGCACCTCTCGTCGATTGCCTATGTCCTTCTCACGGTGGTTCGAGTGTTCGTAGATACACGAGAATGAAGAAAGCGGTAGCAAAACATAATACCTGGCAAGAACGGTGTTAAGCATAATAAATGACAAAAACGGAAAATCACTAACTTAGAATCATACTTACCCATGTCGTCCAGGTTTAATGTCAGGCTAGGATGCTAGCAAGTGCCTGTTGTGAGTCGTGGACAGCAGCATTTCGCAATACGAGCTACCCTACAACTTTATTGATAGAATGATCGCAAAAGCAACGCATAGCAAGCAATTAGTTAGTGCATTTGGCTGATACAATCAAGGATAGTTTCGTCTTACCAGCAACACACAGGTTCCAGGTTGCAATCCTGCCCTTGATGAGTAGCAGCTTCTCCGTGTGAGGCTTCCCCGTGGGACCCTTGAGAGCTGTCGCGCCCCTGCCTTGTTGGCCTCCTGCTGAATGCGCTGCCTCGAGTCAAATGCCGGATTCTGACGAAGATTCTTTCTTTTAGCCCCGTCGGAAATTATGTTTACCACACCCACCTATGTACGATGTGAACATTAGTAACTCAAAAGTTGGGCCGAGAAGAAAAACTTTGATGTATTTGTGGCCGCCGGTGATAAATATCCCATGGCGAATCTTGTTCTAGAAGTGATTCAATGCAGACTTCACGCTTGAGTGTGCGTATTTTGACGAAGTATTCTCCTACTACACGGTGTGATGAATACATTCTACGGTAGCAACTCGCTCAAGCAAAATGTCTGTACGGTTGAGCAATATTTGAGGGCCTCAACTGGATCGTCTGCTCAGTGTTAATGAACTTTACTCCTGCGCCAGGCGAAGTCTGCGGTTGTTCAAGTCGCATTTGTCACCACCAAAAGTGTTTTTCCACCACGACTTCATATGACCAAAGAATCCGGTAGGGTACTTCGATCCTTCTTCGTCAGTTTTAGTGGTAGGAGCAGGTGTGATCTCCGCTTCGGAGGTAGAGTCACTTCCTGACTCGCTTGCACTCGTTGCTGGAGGTCTCGTTCTCACCGTTGCAGACCGATCGTCCAGGGCGTTAGTAACGCTTTTAGGCAAAAAGTCACTGCCAGTTAATTCTTTCAGCCTGTCCAAGTAGCTCTTGCCTTCGTTAGACGACCCGATGGTCGATTTAGGTGAGCTCTTGCTACCGGATATGCTAGCACTTTCAGATAGCTGTAGGTTGCTCTCGGCACTGCCATCTTCGCTCGATCCTGAAGCAGATGCCGTCAATGTTTTCTTGTTCTTGGTAGCAGCAACAAAGCTTTCACTATCAGAAGCGCTTTCGCTCGTTAGTTCACCGCGAGCTCTCGCCCGAGAGCAGATCACTCAGGTCGATGTCCGACCCGCTGTCATCCGAGACCAAATCGGTGAAGTCACTGCCTGAGTCGCTTGACTCCGATGCAGAAGCTGCAGATGCTTTCTTCTTCTTTGTGGCGTTACAGAGGCCGATGGACTGCCCGAGTCATTATTGCTGGAGCCCGACAGTGTTTCATCCTGACCACTGCCACTCATAGACACGAGCAGAGCGTCCAGTCCACTACCGCTCAAGTCACCCAGAGAACCCCCGCCCAACGAACTTAACAAGGCGTCAAGCTGACTACCGCTCAGGGAAAATGAGTCGTCGATACTGCTACCTTTCATTTCGGACGAGTCACTGCTGCTTGAAGAGAGTGGGTCTTCTGATTCGCTGGCATCGTCGCTTGATTCAGAGAGCAAATTCTCTAATTCACTAATATCACCGCTCGATCCCGACTCTGAAGCTTCTGATCCACTAGCGTCTTCGCTCGATTCGGAGGTAGATGAACCTGTCTGCTTGTTTGGTATCTTCGTACCCTCAAGAGACGAGCTGTCACTGCTACCAGAAGCATCTTCCTCTAGTTGGGTGTTCTCGGTTTTGCTTTGAGGCGTCGGAGTGTCACCGGAGGTGGTGTTAGATTTCGGTGCCAACGCACAAGTGTCGCCTTTTCCAAACTTATTTTTCCACCATGTCTTCTTGTGTCCAAACCAACTGGTGCTACAGTCTGATGAACCTCCGGTTGGTGGTCGGTGCAGGGCGGTATTGCTGGTAGTGCTTGGAGATGGCTGCTCCTCTGTTAATCCTG